CCAGAGCAAAACAATTGGTGCTGATAACTCAAAATCAACTGAACTTCTCTAAATTCTGCAGATTAACTGTGCACACCAGAGGCTTTGGCAGCTGGTGTGCATCAGTGAGGTTGTAGTACATCCTCCATTTGAGTTTCTTCCTCAGTGAAGTTTGAGGTGGCCCTAATTCAAACAAATACTTCACAGGGGGAACAAACAGAGGTGCTTCAGAAGTGCACTCCAGAGCTGAAGGTGGTGGTGTGGAAGAGGTGAATGGGGTGCACCAGGGGTTCAGTGTAAAACTCGGTACATTATACTGTCATGGTTAACTGGTATGTTGGAGGGTCTTCGCCATAATCTTACTTTAACTCTTCTGTGGATGGAATGATGGCAAAAAGTCAAAAAGTCTAATTGAATCTGTTAGGTACATAACAGCTGTGGTTGTGTTGTGAATTCTTCTGGGTAAAAACCTAAGCTCAGGATGGTTTTTATTCCTAGAAGCAGGAAGTATAGCAAGTTGATATACAGTCATAATAGGATAAACAGGCCCACAGCAATAACTCAGGGAATCCTATCCCCTGATTGCATATATTACAAAACACACTGACTAGGAGAATTTTCTGTATTTTCTGTTGTGTTTTTTTGTTGTTGTTGTTGTTTGGTTGATTGGTTGATTGATTTTTCTGCTTTTGATAGCTAGTTCTAGGCAAACAGAAGTGTGATAAGATAATCAGGACACTGAAAATTTCATTTTTCTGTAACAATAAATTGTATTATACGATTGCCAGGTGTTCCACTAGATAAATGTATACATTCATTTTCTTTGCAAACAATAGGAACAGTGTGTGTGTGTCTGATATATCACTCATCACCAGTAACACCTGAACAAAGCATCAGACCATACAGACATTTTTAAAAGTATGTTGACATAATGAAAGAATCATAGAATTGCTCAGGTTGGAAAAGACCTTCCAGATCATCTAGTCTAACAGCAAAATAATGTGCTGTAATAAAAAAGATATAAGATCAAGATGACTTGTATCTGCTTCTATTTGGATAACTTTAAAAATAAATAAGTAAATGACATTTTCTCTGAATTTTGAGTGAGACAAAAAAAATTTAAAACCTTGGAAGCTGGCTGGAATGATAAAATAATTCTTCGAACAATTGTTTTCTTACTTTCCTGGTTCTGGTTATCTTTGCAGCATGATTTCAGCCTGAGACGACTGCTGAATGTCTCCAGATCAATTCAGATCTATAGATCTGTCTATGGATAAAGCAACGGTAGTGTGGCTTTGAATTCTAGGAACTCATCATACTTCAGCAGTACTTAATATAGTGTTTTGATTTTAACGAGCTGTACCAGTAGGGAAAGTTGCTGATTATAAAAGCAAGACTCTTTATCTGGCCACAGACAGCAAGTTCATGACATTGTTAACTGCTGATCCTAAATTGAAAGTTGTTAACATAATCATTAATCAAAAACGTCAGTATCTACTATTTGATTCTTTCTTTTAGTTCTTATTTATGATTCATATTTTCATTGTATCATCTCTTGCTGTTCCCTTTGGGTGCCTTTCCTGAAAGTTCACCAGAAAATTAAACGTTTTTCACCCATAAAATGCTTCAGTCAATTAAAAATTGGTCTGTTCCATTATTAACAACTTCTAATGCCACTAATCCCACAGTTTCGTATCACTTATCTATCATGAGAAATTCTGAAGCTGACACAATGAATTAATCTTTATTTTCAGTTTTAGCAAATGAAAGCAACATCAGAACAGTGTACTGTGGCACCAAGACTAATCTTTGGTGTAGCTGTCTGTCTCTCAACAGTCTTTGAAGCATCAAACAAATTTCTTTCCTGTTGAATGACTAACACTCAGCTCCTGCGAGAAAATGTATGCAAATCTGCATTTATTTATTACACTTCAAGTAAAAATATACAAAAAAATCTTTTTTTCTTTCCTTTTTTTTTTTTTCCCCTATGTCTACCACTCAATCTTTATAGAAATTGAAGCTTCTCATACTGAGATTTTTTAATTAATATAGATATATATTTTTTTTTGCAACAGTGACTTACATTTGTCTCGTAAGAAATACAATAAAATTATTCAAAACTACTGTCTAAATAACTGGGGTATCTTTTCCCGTCATATTTTATTGACAATATTAATTGGAAAACCAATCATATACTGAACTGATTCTGACACTGATTCTGCTTCCATTGTAAACAGTTCTTTTGAAAGAGCTTGTATCTGGGGTTAGTTTAACAAAGACTGCTATCCTTTGTCTTCTTTTTCTACAGTAAATCCTGATTACAGGAGCTGACAGCAAATTGAAGATACCTCCCTGCCATAGATCTAAATAACAAAGTATATGAAACCTATTGTTTATACTGATAAATTGGTGAACTCTTGTGTGCATGCAACCACAATACTTTGCACTAGTTTCAGTATATTGAAACCAATTCAAGCAGAGTAAAGAAAGTAACTTTTTTTTTCCTTACATGACAAGGATCTTTATTCTGCTTATTCTGCACTATGGTATGGGCCATGTTTCTGTCAATCCACATAAATTTTATGGAACGCTGTTTTAAAAGAAGGATATTCCATGCTATGGTATCTGACTTCATTTATCATCAGGCAATGGCTGTGTACCAGGGCACTTCACAAGACTACTTTTCATAGCATCACCAAGGTTGAAAAAGACCTCCAAGTTTATGCAGTCCAACTGTCCACCTATCACCAATATCTCCCCACTAAACCATGTCCCTTAGGACAACATCTAAATGTTTCTTAAACACCTTCAGTGATAGTGACTCAACCACCTCCCTGGACAGCCTGTTCTAGCTCCTGATCAATATTTTAGATAATTTTTTCCTAATATCCAACCTGAGATGAAGTGTACCCAGTAGGCTCTCCCTTTATTTGAATAAAAGACTAAAGACTCTTCTGTCTCTTTTTGGGATAAAGATGATTGAGCAAGTGTATTGGAGCAAAAATTTTCCTAACAATAGAGTAATTTGATTTTAATGGTCAAATCAAATCCAGCTTCAGAGAGGACAGACTATTCCTTTGATGAATGCAGATGATTTCTGATGGATTTATTCTAAGAGTGGAGTTTTGGTAGAATACAAAACTGCAAGACATTAATCTGCCTTCTGCTATAAATGAACACCTCAGGTTTGCCTCAGACTTAGAAAAATGGTACATTAGGCTCAAAGGTAAAAATACTGTCTTCTAAAAGAGATGTTTAATTGACTACAATAAAACATAAATGTTAAAATTAGAAATGTAAGTATCTTATGCATTGCTTCATCTGGGATCTAATAAGAATAAGCACTTTCTCATGATAAAGCTGTTTGGCAGAGAGATAATAAAAATAGTATCAATACTTACTAATAAGTAAAAACATACATTCTGTAAATTAAGGCATACTTGGTCTCTTTCCGTAACAAATAGTCTTACAGATGAAATCTGTAGGCAAAATCATCTCTAGCAGCAGATCAGTTTTTGGCACAGTCCTCTCAGAGATTCTCTGTGGTTGGAATTAATTCATTTTGTTTAATTTAAATGGTGTAAAGGAGACAGAATAGACAGAAGAATTAATGCTTTGCTTAATAGAAAAATGAACAGAAAATTTTATAGAACTTAATCTCTTTTATATAATTCGGACACCCAAGTTTCCTCTGCCATTTCAAAAGCCACTCACTCATGGTAAAAACAGCACTGATTCTCTTTTTAATTCGTTCTTAATGGAGTAATGGAAATATAATTCCTATAGGAATCAATTGAGCTTCTATCACCAGACCTCAGTAAGAGTTGGATTGTGTGACAGGCATTTTTATTAATAAGAATCAACACTCGCTTATGAATACCACAGTGTGTTCTTAAAATCAAAAAGAATGCAGCAGTTCAAGGTAATGGAGCATAGGAAAGCCTTTTCTTGAAAGAAATTCATAAGCTGTGGCTGGATAAAACATATTTCTCTGCTGTGTATTGCCGCAAAGTTGTGAAACTGTAAACTCCCCATTTCTGTTATTTTAGCATGTTATTTATTTCATGGAAAGAAAGATGGGATAATAAAAGGATAATGACTCTAAGTAGTCATTGTGAATAGAAAATATGAAGTGCATTATCATGAGCTGTGGGTACTACTCAAAATTTCAATGTATAGGTCAATAAGAAAGGTCATATTTTTAAAAGTCTACTATATTTCTGTAGTATGTGGGATATCTGCTGTGCCTATGCTGCTATTACCATACCTCTGTCAACATGAGCATAGCCAGAAGTGCCTCTTTCAAGCAAGACTGCCACTCAGATCTCAGAGATGGCACAGTTTCACACTGTCTGTGCTGCAAATCCTGCAGAAACATAGCATGAATAATAACACCTTGTGCTAAGTGCTTTTGAGGAGATTCTTTTGCTTCATTAACTTTTCCTCCATTTACTTCAAATTTAGAAAAATCAGGTCACCTGGCTTTCTTTGACCCTTGGGAATACAACTGAAGTCTCACTTAAGGTCCTTACATTCTTTTTGTGGAATTTGGCCTTGACTTTTAAAATGTCGTGGGACTGAGAGTCGACCTTATAATGCATTGATTCTGTCTGGCTTAGTTATTGCAGCAGTAGTTGCAGTGCTGCATCAGAAATCATGCTCCAGAAACTCTGCAGTGGTGGTTTTTCACCTCAAGGTGATATTACTGAGTTCATGGTAGGGAAAAAAGGGTGAGAAAAAATATCATCATTCATTTGAATTATTATATAATCAAGTATATCTGATTACATTAATACAACTGCATTTTTGTCAGTGAATGTGTATTCTGAGTTTGGTTGGCTCAACTCAGACACTGCAGAATTTAAAGGCATTTTTGCCAATGATTCCAGCAGAAAATTGTGTTTACACTAAAACATTTGTTTTACAAGAATTAAAATCTTGAAAATGGTTTGCTCTAACAAACTTTTTTTGTCCTGCAGAAATATTTTGTCCTGTTTCATTTTCCACCCATTTTCTTATAGGGAGAGCAGCTGATGCTATAGCAGCAAAGAATTTGGACCCAAGAAGGTAAATGTTTTGATCTCCATTATGTCTGAGATCTTTGCTTTCTTCAAGTGAAGATATCATTGTTTGTAACAAGTAGGTAATAGAGACCTGTCTCTCTAATGACTGAAGCGCTTGTGGTGTATACACAGTAATGGTGACTGAGTTAGGCTGAGTTATTGGGCTTCCAGTGAGTGAGTAACTGACATTGTTGAGGGAGAATACTTTAACTATCTCCTAATCCTATCCATTGTATAGCTCATTGCTGTAGATCCCTCTGCTTCTGAAATTTTAAAGAGATTTACTGCCCTTATGAAATACAGTACTTTGCTGAATACAGAAGAGCCATGATATAAGCTGCATGTCTTCGGCCTCTCCCATTTCAGAGCTCTGAAATCCTTGCAGAGATTGGGGATGTGAAGCCTGATTCCACAGGAGCAAAGAATTAAGCTCTGGGTAAAACACCAGAGTGTAGCATGTCATTAGCTGATTTCATGTCAGTAGATTTGAGCAGATTAATGTAACTCTTCATGTGTTTAAAGTTAATTATGTGCAAAGCACTTTGCAGCATCAGGACTGAAGTGCTGATCAAGTCCCTGCTCCTCCTGCACGTCCAGCACACCGTGCTGCCAGCCTGTAGCAAGGCAATCTTCATAGGCTGCTGCATATACCTCCATATACTACTAGAATAGTAGTGTTTGACAGGTAGCAGATAGCAGATAGCATTGATACCTGGTTGGTTTGTTTGTTTGTTTGTTTCAGAACTGCAACTGTTTTGTGTTCCTTCTTGGTGGTTACTGTGTCTGTGTCGTTTTTCTTTAAGGAACAAAAAAAACCTCCACCGCTCCTACAACTGCAAGAAGAACCACCAGTTTCAGAACAGAGAAAATTTTAAGATGAATGTAGTTAAAAAAAATATAAAATCAATATTGAACTTTGCAAGAACTTAAGAACATAGAAACTTTAATGTTGTTGGATATAGATAAGGAACATCATTGAACAGAAATGCTGTGACTAAAATAACACATATATGTCCTGACTCCACTTCTTGCTTGGGTACCATCCCAATTAACATTAGCTGTACTAAGGTACATTGTTGAGTGGGAAAATATTAATGGTAGGTGGATGGTTGGACTGGATGTTCTTGGAAGTCTTTTCCAACCTTGGTGAGTCTATGATTCTATTCTGTGAACTCAGCTGATGTTTAAGTTTGAGGAGAATTTGATGTATTTATAGCAAAGGCAATGAGCGTTTGAACTACGTCATGCATATTTATAAATGATGTATGATTTCCCATCAGTAGTTCTCCTTGATACCAAAAACAGCAGCAAGATCTGAACAAGGAATTTTGAACCATGACAATATAATTGGTCTTTAGTTATTTTCAACAAGACCTCTTGAGCACAGTTCATACCGGAAAATACCAAAGCTGAATTAATTTTTCTGCACTCAGTAGGACTTCATATTAGGTGTAGAGGAGACTAGGAAACAGAATTAGTGTCAAGGTAAACGTGGAGGAAAATCAGTGCAGACAATAAGTAAAAGCTTTGAAAGAAAAGAATTCTGTGAATCACTCCTAGTTGAATAGATTTCTGTCTCTCCTGAAGATATCCTATAGAAAAAACTGCTTTTATAGCTTTACAGCTCACTCCTCTTCTAGATGAGAAACACCTGACTTGGCTGTTCCTTGTGTGGATTACTTATTAGCAGAATGGATGAATTAAGGTGTTTTCTTTCTTCTGCTCTTCTACTAGGTCACATGTTCTGGTGCCTATTGTTTGCTTCCCTGCTTGTGATGTGCCTCTGTAATGAGCAGAACAGTTCTCCAAAAGAACAGCTATAGGCTTCTCGCTTCTTTCCAGGTGTTTCAAACTTTGTCCTTTTTGGTTTGTCAGTCATGCTGCAAGAGTTCAACCAACAGTGCAAGGCAGGAAAGGCTGAAAAAATTACTGCCTGAGCTCTCTGTGAAAGAGCAACAGAAAGTGTTGTTGTATTTGCTGTATAGGAAAATGTTGTTAGTAGCTACAGCTGTGGTGATCTAAAGCATTGTGATGAAGGTAGTATTCTGTGTGTTACATGAATATTTTAGTTCTCTGTGTTTTAAGTGCTTTTTTTAAAGAGCATGGGTTACAGACTGTAGCCAGTATGAGGCATTGCTAGAGCTGGTTTTAATGGCAGATCAAGTATGAAGAAACAAACGCTCTTTTAACAGTGGATTACCCAAAGTGGAGCACGTGGTAGTGACATGATGTAGAGGTTATGGGGGAGGCAATTCTGAAATGAAGCCACTTTGCAAAATATGCTCAGACAGACCTGAAGGCTTGAATGTTTTAATGCTTGTTCATAACAGTGACCTTTGGAAGGAGCTGTGTGCAGTCATATCACGGTAGGTGGTTGTAGCCATTCAGTGAAGCACTGTTGTACTATGATGGAGAACATCAAAGAGTTTCTTGCAGCTTTCAAGGTCTTTGTAGAGCAGATGTGAGTTTGCAGACAGTCTGTTTGATTTAATAACCTCAGCACATCTTTCACGTAATGGTTCCTTTACTGGCTCCTAGCTCCACTCTGCTAATTGAAACCACTACATTTCAAGAGCACAGCCCTATAGCCTTCATTAAACATCAAGGCTGCTAGCTGAGAATCCTCACCTAGCAGGTATGCTATCCTTAATTAGCATGAGAGCAAATGTATCAAATATAATCCTACTTCATTGCATCCAAAATTACAGATGATCAACTCTGAGAAAGCAAATAAGATTTTGGCAAATCGATGTAGACAGAGTAGGCATCAGTGTGTGTGTATGGATAGGTATACCATATTGCTTTGGGGAGTGAACAGTTTGTTTGTTCTAATTTCTCTTCCTCTGGTGATCAGTTGATAGTTACGTTACACCTCATGCAATCATCTTATCTAACAGCTGATTTCGTACTTCACTGCAACTGTCATTGATTTATTTGGGTAGTTAGGTATGCAGCACAGTCAGAGCTGTAACTGCATTATGTGCTGATATCCACATGGACTGCCTAGCGGTGCTCTCTGTCTGTGCCCATCCCACTGTTGTTTCTCTCTGAGCATCTGATGTCATTTGTTTTTCCATGACAGAAAATAGCTGAGTGTGAAGTCTTAAAATGTTCTTAAATTTAGAGTGTTTCAGGTTTTCTGGAAACAGCTCTATTACACTGGTGTGTGTGCATGCTTAACAAGAAGGAAGAGCTTTGAGATAATGATCTCAATTTATTACTCACTGATACCTTGCCAAAAACAAAAACTCAAATCATTAGTAGTGGTAAAAATAATCACTACTGATGTAGAATAGGAACTCATTTCAAAAGTGAGACTGCTGCTTTAATAGAGGCTAAAAAGATATCATGCAGGCTCAGCCATAAATCTATGTGTGTGTGTGTGTGTATATTTAAGCAACTGGATATTATGAAACAAATTATTTAAATCCTCAATTTCTTTGTTATTTTAAAATGTGTATTCCACTTATCTGTGTAGTAAATGAATCATGTTTATTAAATATCATTCTAATTATATGAAAATCAGAGCTGTATGTCCAACAATTTCATGTAGATCAGTGTCACAATGTGGTGGAATAATATCATAATGGAATGCTGATATAAACATCAAATCTGGGAGACATGTTTCCAATCTTCTCCATTTCTGGTGAAGTGCAGTGCTTTGTTTTTGCTTCAAGTACATCTATCACACTATCGTAGCAATAAATAAAGCAATGTGCTTCTTTTCTGAGGCTTAGGATCAGTTTTTGCACAGAGGGGCTTCCAAAGTATCCTTCTCTTGGCTGTTGGTGAAGCCTTAACTTCACTACTGAGATATCCACACAGAAAAAAAATCGTATTTTTTCAACTTTTATCATATTTACCTTACCTGTGCAGAAACATTACAAATAATTCTGTTTTCAAATTCAGATCTTCTGCTTTACCACAGAAACATCTATAGTGGAGTTGGCCTTTGGGCCAGCAAAACTCTCATCTGTTGGAATGTAATTTTTCAGTAGTTGACTATATAACCCCCATCTTCAATCTGTATTCTGTATGACTGTTTCTTGTGTCAGACTTCTTCAAAAGAATTAATGCCCTCTGAGATTATAGTTAATATTTTAGCATTTGCTTTCTGATTTATAAGCTAATAAGGGACTGGAATAATGAAAGTGATCTCTTCAAAAACTTTGGAATACTAAGGTTTTTTTTTTTTTTAACAAACATGGAAAACATCACATACATATAACTTCTGATGATATCAATTTTTATAAATCCTTGAAAGACACAAAGATTAATATTTAGATGCTACATTTATTTTGATACCTGAGATGCCACTGAGCAGTAGACATGAATGGCCAATTCAGTGACTAAACTACTCACTACGTGTTGGTATTCCACATCTCCAAGAGGGAAAAAATAAATCTGTTTTTTTCTTCAGAAGATTTTTTTATTCTTGTCTTAGTTGCTGTTAATATCCTCTATTAAGTGCTAAAAATATAGGTTCAGAAGTGGTTATTGATGTGACTTGCCATGACCCTTTGTTAAGTTTGATGTAAATCTCCATGTAGGCTGAGGTAACTAAGGGAGCACATTTTAGGAACTTACTTGCCGAGCCATTAAAATGATACTCTGAACTCTGTTGTCAAACGCTGTAGCAAGTAAATCCATTTGTGTCAGCTAAAGGTCTTGGTTGTTACTTTGGTAGCAGTGGAGAGATAAGATTTATTTCCTTGTGCGTATGCCAATATAGTTAGAAAAGAATTCTTAATAGCTGTGTGTAGAGTCACTGACCAGCTAATACGTGGCTTTTTTTTTTTTTACTGCTGCTCTGTTTAGGCTTTGGCAAAGAAATTACCAGCTTCACTGCATGAATCCCCTTTGTATAATGCGGGCTAGTTTCAGTGTGAATACTGAAGTGTATGAGTCCTACTTTTTTCTTTTGTATCAGAATGACTTATGTTCACTGAACATTCAAATTATAAAGGAACAAAAGCTCAGCTGGCATTATTTAACTGTTAAATG